AGAGAGAACAGTAATCAAAACGTTGTGATAATAAGATGAGGACAATAGTTTGAAGTAGTTTCCAGGATTTTTTCAAACAGAAATATTTCTCAACAATCCCAGGATTTTTGTACATAGACCCAAAATTTTGAAACTTAGAAAAGTTGTATTGTTAAAACTCAACAAGAACAAGTATGTACCAGATAGGATAAAGTCCAATCTATGTTAAGAGCAAAAGCTTACCATGAATTGTCTTTATACATCCACAGCTATGGATTAAAGAGTAGGAGCTTTCTCTGGAAAAAAAAATCATTGTTATCCACAAAAAAATCTTAATGCATAATTTGCAAAAAAATAAATAAATAAAAGAATTAGAAAACTTGACCTTCATGCCTGCAAAAAATTAGAATGTCAAAAAACGTTTTCTTCCTTTGAAACCACAATTATTTTAACTAACTTTACTCCTCGACAATGTTTATTGTTTTTAAAAAGCGATGATTAGAATTGTAATAAAGTCTAAACATATGACGGAAGGGAATTTATATATTTTCATTGTTGTTGAGAATTTACAACAAAGATATTAAACACTATTAGGTTGTTTATTACAAGACTAATTTTATATTTACAACATTCTAAGAACTAATAGAATTAGAATTAAATGCAATGCAATATTTGTCATTTACCAATTTATAAAGAAAGAAATATGAAAACAATTTTTTTTATTCATAAACATTTACTCATTTATTAAAATGTTTGAACCAACTATAAGGAAATCCTTATTATTTACCATTTTATAAAATTCAAATCAATTGGCAATTAGCCGATGTTTTGCCAGCCATACCACTAAATAATATAAATACTGTATATAAGCAATCTCATAAATAAATAAATAAATAAATAGTTTATTATTTTTTTGTCAGTTCTCAAGAACAAAGAAAATGTATAAATTCACTTTCATATTTTTAGGTTTTATTCCAATTCTAATCATCACTTTTTTTAAAACAAACATTGCAGAGGGAGTGAAGGTAGTTAAAATAATAGCGGTGTCAAGGGAAAAACTGTCCTTTTGACACTGTTTTTTGTTGTTGGCATGAAGGTCCAGATTTGCTGAAGAATTATTCTTACAATCCAAAATAGGTTTTGGCTTTAAATAACCCACAGAAGGTTGATAAGCAATAATAATAATAATAATAATAATCTTTATACTGTAATGAAGTAGAGATATAGACCAATGATAACACAAGACTTGAATCTTCAATTGTTTCACATTACATTTTATTCAATTCCTGGCTTTTTCAATAATTCTCAGCCAATGTGCATGTATACATGTCCATGGAGCCCTCGTTCAAATGTGGTCTGTACATTGTCATCTGTGAAATCTGAGACTCTCCATTTACAGGTGGACATGAGCTTATGGGCATATCACGTTGAAACACAGATTCTCGTCTAATTGCCAAAGTTAAGCAATGTTGAACCTGGTCAGTACCTAGATGGGTGAAAGCTGGGGAATACCAGGTGTTGTAAGCTTTAATGTGTAGATGGTGTAATGAATAAAGGCTCGGAATGAGAAATCGTAGAGTCAAGTTCGAATTCCAGTCAGGTTCGTTATATATTCACCTACATGCAAATACCCTTGGGAAAGGAATGTATCCACCTCTTCTCCTCCCAGCTATAAGTTAAATAGTAAGACTTATCAGAAAATCATTATTATCTCCACAAAATTATTACAATCCAAAAATGTTTCATTCTCATGCTAGCAAGCCAGAGTATAGTGATAAAAAATGCAAAAAAAATAAAATAAACGTAAATGCTTCATTCAAGAAGGTCTCTACGATTTTTCCAGTTGAAGTAGAGATAATTCTCAACAGTTCTACAATTTTTGTACATAGACCGCAAATTTTGAATCGAGACTTGAATCTTTCCTTGCTTAATGTTATAGTTTATTCAATTCCTGATTTGGCCAATGTGTGTACACTGTTCCAGAGCCTTCATCCAAACATTCTCGACTGTGATGCTGGCAAGATTCTCCATTCACCGCTTGGGTCGGTGTTTATATATCTTTCTTTGGTATACGGCTTGTTCCCATGCTTGTAAGCCAGGTGATGCTGTGAGATTACATGATTCTGCACTCAGCACCTGGCTCCTTTGATGGCTTGGTGTGATATCGAATGCATAATCTATTCTGGCATGAGGTGAGGTGAGACACACACACTAAAATACTGTTGGACAAAAAAAAAAAAATAGAGAAAAGAAACAAAATGGAAGACTATCTAGAATTTCCTTGACAATAGCTAATTGCTTGACCAGTATAAGTTGTAAGTACAGAGCTAGTCTACTTACTAGCCAACATGTGAAGAACAGATAGAAATAGATTATCGTATTGTCAGCATGTAAAAATAGACTATTGCCATGGCTATCAAGTGTAAACATGTAAAAATAGATAGAAATAGCCAATTTCCTGGTCAGCACATGTAAAAATAGAATTGAAAAAATGCCTATCCAGTATATGTGAACATGTAAAAATGAATATGAATAGCCTAATACCTGGCCAACATGTGTAAACATGTAAAAATGGAAATGTCTATTGCCAGGCCAACATGTGTAAACATGTAAAAATTGAAATGTCTATTGCCTGGCCAACATGTGTAAACATGTAAAAATTGAAATGTCTATTGCCTGGCCAACATGTGTAAACATGAAAAAATTGAAATGTCTATTGCCTGGCCAACATGTGTAAACATGAAAAAATTGAAATGTCTATTGCCTGGCCAACATGTGTAAACATGTAAAAATTGAAATAGCGCATTTCCTGGCCAACACATGTAAAAATAGATATAACCTGGCATGGACATAATTAGAAACCATCTAAAACTTGTCTGCCAAATGTAAATGTAGTAGAATTGGTATGAAAATATAGGAAATTTTTCCTTTATCTTTTGTTGAATTTTCCATTTTTGCTTTTTGACTAATTCAGAAGGTCAAGTGCTTTTCTTGTATAATTTTGCAAAATATTACACATTGTATCTCAGGCTTTTATTTATTCTGAATGTGTGTCAAGATCTAGCAAATTTTCCCTCCGATGTTTTTTCATATGTGCATCTAGCATAGACTTATAAGGAAAGTTTTTCCTGCACACTTCACATTGGAAAGCTGTCTTTTCATCATGGGTCCTAACATGTCTTTTCAACTGAGAAAAAGTGCTAAAAGCTTTATCACATTGTTCACATTGAAAAGGCGTTTCCCCTGTATGGATCTGCAAATGGTTTTTCAAAGTAGATTTGTGAGAAAATGATCTTCCACATTCTTCACAACGAAAAGGTTTCTCTCCAGTATGAATTTTAACGTGCATTTTCAAGTCACCATTCTGAGAGAAAGCTTTTCCACAAACTTCACAACTATAGGGTTTTTCTCCTGTATGTATCCTCAAATGTATTTTCAAACAAGTGTTTGATGAGAAAAATTTTCCACATTCTTCACAGTAAAAAGGTGTTTGCCCCGTATGAGTTCTCACATGGGTTTTAAAAAAAGTCTTTTGAGAGAAAGACTTCCCACATATATCACATTGATAAGGTGTTTCTCCTGTATGCAATCTCATGTGGATTTTCAAGGCAAATTTGCGAGTGAAAGCTTTCTCACATAATTCACAGGGGAATGGCTTCTCTTCAATATGAATTGTCATGTGTGTCTTTAGGTGTGTACTTTGAGTGAAACCTTTACCACAAATTTCACAATGATAACGTTTTTCCAAGGTATGTGTTCTAATGTGGCATTTAAGTGTGCCATCTTGAGAGAATGTTCTTTCACACAAACCACACTGATATGGTTTTTCTCCAGTGTGTGTTCTCATATGGATCTTTAAGGTAGATTTGTAAGGATATACTTTTCCGCATATATCACAATGAAAAGATGTTTGTTCGTTGTGTGTTCTTGCATGCTTTTTTAATTGAGTCTCTGTAGTAAATAGTTTCCCACAATTATCACATTCAAAGGATGGTTGCTCATCTCTATGAGTTCTCATATGTACTTTCCAATCAGAACTTTGAGAGAAACCTTTGCCACATTCATCACAATGGAAAGGAGTTTCTCCTGTATGTGTTTGCACGTGGATTTTTAAAGACGACACATGAGCAAAGGCTTTACCACATTCTTCACAACTAAAAGGTGTTTCTTTGATATGTGTTAGCATGTGGCTACTTAGAGAAGACTTGCAAGAGAAAGCTTTTCCACATACTTCACAAGAAAATGGCTTCTCCCCAGTGTGACTTCTCATGTGTATTTCTAGGTTTTTGTAATGAGAGAAAGTTTTTCCACATATTTCACATCTTTCCTCAGTGTGTATTTTCATATGGCGCTTCAAGCCAGAACTCTGACAAAAGCCCTTTCCACAAACGTCACAGCAAAATGGCTTCTCCCCTGTGTGAGTTCTCACGTGGACTTTTAAGCCATACTTTCGAGAGAAAGCTTTTCCACACAACTCACAGTGAAGGGTTGTTTTTCCAGTGTGCTTTTCAACCTGTTTGTCTATATCAGTCTTGCTGATTAATGCCTTTTCACACATGTTAGTTGTTTCTTCATCTTCTGTTGCTGAATCATCATTCGAGGAAGAACTATTTGCAGATGTTTCTCCTTGTAACTTCATAGTTGAGTGTGTTTCTGATTGTGCAATAAGGGATGAATCACCAGAAAATGGTTTTCTGCAACTAGGATTATTATATTTCTCATCAGTCGAAGGAGAATCCATATTTGAATGCTAAATGACAAATTCTGCACCAAGATCTGAAAGTAAAAACAAAAAGTAAATATTTGTTGCTTAATAAAATTCTTTTTCCTCATTTGATTAAATCAATGTTTTCCAATATTCTGTGACCTTGTCGCCTTAACTGAAAGTTAATGGTATGTTTTTTTGACATAAGAAAATATACTATGCATTAATCCTAAACAAAATGTGCAAATTGAACCTTGGATAATGTCTTCAAAGTCAAAAAGTGTTTTATTTCTTCAAACTATGCAATAACATTTTTTACAGCCATATCACATTGAAACACGGGTCCACGTACAATCACTGAAGTTAAGCAAAAACATGCCAGGTCAGTACCTAGATGGGTGACTATATGGGAATACTAGGTGCTGTAAGCTTGGATGTGAGGGTGGTGCAATGGATAATGGCTCAGAATTGGAAACTGGAGAGCAGAATTCAAGTTCCTGTCACATTCAAATAAACTTGCAAAAGGTATAAATACACTTCTCCATCCCCGACCCTCCCAGCTTTGGGTTAATTAGTAGAACTTGTATCAGTAAAAATCATTATTATCTCCAAAGAATTTTTTACAATTCAAAAATAGTTTCTGGCTTTAAATAACCTGCAGAGAGTTAATGGCCTGTTAAAGACAAATCAGTTGATCAATCAATTTACAATAACATTCATAAAAAGTACATGCTATTTGGCCTTACCCATTTTTCATCTTTTTTGTTACTTTCAAAACATTTTGGCCATCTTCAGTCTATATACATACGTCCCAGCAGCTGAAGTGTTAACTTAGGAAATTAACACAAGCATGGACAAGGGAATGAGAAAAATCTACCTGTGTGGATTAAATTATGATCAGAAAAAAAGTCACAATTTTGTTTCCTGGCTCAGAAAATAGTAACATGATAAAAGCCATATTTATCATAATTATGAGTAGTGACAAGTTCTCAGCCCAACCAAGAAAACTGACCAAGAGCCATGAAACATCCATGCCATTCCACATATTCACTCCAAAGTTCAACACACTAAGCACCATGCTGTTTAATCATTGACATACAGATTTTGGGAGGGGGGTCTGGTTGAAAGATTTTCATCAACAGTTCTTACAGTAATAAAAGAAGTCATCTTTTCATAAGGTTGAAGAAAAAAGTCACACAAAAAAAGGTTGAGAAAAAAGTCATAAAAAGGTCACATTTGATTTATCCAGAGTGGACTTGTCAGGAGAATAATGGCAACTTAGTGGTGACCCTAGACTGCCCAGAAATGCTGGGTAAGAGCCTCATCACCAGATGCATTTTAAAGTCATAGCTAGGGTGCATACACATACACACATATAATCTTAAGTGTATTTGTTAGGTAAAGATATAAAGATATTTGTAAAAATAAAATGAATTAATTTTCCTTGTTTAGAAGAATTTTATAGGCAGAACACTGACAAACACCCACTGAACACTAGTGGCTAAAAAAAGAATAATTTTTACTTTGTGTTTTAAAAAATATGACTTGCAGTTTTGAAAATATACACATTTTAAAACTGAGATTAAAATTTACTTTATTTTTTTAATATCTAATTTTAGAGATATGTGTGTGTGTGTGTGTGTGAACCACAGAAAAACTGTTTCACTGTTTTACAGCTGATCAATGTGGCTACACATCCGATCGCTTCAATTCAGGATTAAAACCTGACTGATTTGGCATCAGTCGGAGATTCTAACCCCTAGGCTATCGAAGCCTGGCAGGTAAAATGGCAAATTTTGCATATTTATTTTTTTCATAAACATGCCAGTGACCTAGAGAACTCAATCCAATTTGGAGAGTCTTGCATTATCAACATGTAATGGTGGCTGTTTACAAATTTGCACTTTTCTCCCCACAGTGCTTGCCTGAATTAATTATTTTTCAGGAGCTAATATTGTTATTTTATATGTTATTTTTAATGGATACTCATATTTGAGTAGATTCTTTGTTTTTATTATTATTTACATCTACTGGTAGATTTAATTCATTTATATATATATATATATATATATATATATATATATATATATATATATATTATAAATTAATTGATTTAAAATATGGTTTTTCCGCTACACAGTTCTAACCATGTTTCAAAAATGGAAGGTCCGAATTTAATTTAATATCTATAAGAACACCGGATTATATATCTTACTGTTCTTTCTTTTTATTTATTATATATATATATATATATATATATATATATATATATATAGATGGGCAGTTCAACCAAAAAACGACTTTTTCGGTTTCATCTCTACGCCATGAAACCGCATCAAAATTTTTACAAAACTGAAATTGTTCAGTTTTGTTAAGTGCTCACTACTGAGTGACCATATCCAAAGAAACACTAAAAAGACTAAAATTTAATTTTACAACATTTATACCATTGTAAGAGAAAAAGATTGAACAAAAATATATTAAAAACATTTAATTGACTAGTTTTTATGAAATAAATGGGAAATCTATTTGTTTATAAAAGAAATGAAGAAAAAAAGGAAATACAACAGATATGACACTTGGAAATCATAAAATGTTTTCAAACAGGAAAAAAGGAAAATACGACATGATGCCTGAAATCTCTTTGTTTCAGTTAAAAAAAAAAAATTAGGGTAAAATTAAGTTAACAACAAAATAACGAGTAAAAATAAAAAATAATTGCCAGTTTAATCTTAATGTTAAATTTTATGAAGTCAGATTTTTTTAAGGTAAGGGTAATTGTTTTCTAATAAGCCAAGTATGCCAATCATGAAATAAAGTTGTTGTAAACAAGAAAAAGGAATGAAGATTTTTTTTTTATAAATAGATTTGTTTTTTATCTAGGGAATGCACCTAAATTAAATATTAAGAATAATTAAAATAGTTCTTAATTTCACTTTTAAAATGTGTATATTTCCAGATATGCAAGAGTAAAATTGTCTGTTTTCTACAAATAAAATTATGTTTCTATCTAGCAAATACACCTAAAATTAGATATTAAAAAAATAAAGTAAATTTTAATCTCAGTTTTAAAATGTGTATATTTTCAAAACTGCAAGTCATATTTTTTAAAACACAAAGTAAAAATTATTCTTTTTTTAGCCACTAGTGTTCAATGGGTGTTTGTCAGTGTTCTGCCTATAAAATTCTTTGAAACAAGGAAAATTAATTCATTTTATTTTTACAAATATCTTTATATCTTTACCTAACAAATACACTTAAGATTATATATTAAAATGATTAGAATAGTTTTTGATTTCAATTTTAAAATGTGTATCTAAAAAAAAAAAAAAAAAAAAATAGGTGATACTCACAGATTTGGAAATATACACATTCTAAAAATGAAATTAAAAGCTTTTAAATTATTTTTAATATTTAATTTTAGGTGCATTCGCTAGATAAAAACAAATTTATTTATGGAAAAAAATAACTCATTGATTTTCCTTCTTTACAAGAAATTTATGTGCAAAAGCATTGGGAGATGTGTGTATATAGAGTGGTTTATGATATATACACATATCTTCCAATCACCCACTTTCTATAATCAAACAGATACCAAAATCAATTAACCACAGGCTTTCTGACAATTCCTCCAATGAATCCATATTTAACAAAACTAAGAAAGACTACAAAACAGCCCTAAAAGATAGTGGATCCCCAGCAACACTCACATACTCACCCCAGTACACAAAAAAGGCCAACAGGAAAAGAAATATCATATGATTCAACCCACAGTACAGCAAAAATGTAAAAACAAATGTAGGAAAAATATTCTTCAAACTCTTACACAAACACTTCCTGGAATCAAGCACCCTACACAAAATATTCAACAAAAACGCAGTAAAAATCAGCTACAGATGCACCGAGAACATGGCACAAATAATAAAAAAGCACAACAGGAAAACTATCAACAAACCATACAAACAAATTAAACCCATGTGTACTGCAGAATAAAGAACAAATGGCCCTTAAATGGTAATTGCTTACAAAACAATGTAATATACCAAGCAACGATAAAATCACCAGATAATGAAGAAAAAGTATACATAGGAGTAACAGAAGGACCCTGGAAACAAAGAAATTATGCACACAAAACATCTTTCACAAATAGTAAATACGCAAACAGCACAATGCTTTCTAATTATATCTGGGAAATTAAAAACAAAATGCACATCACACCAAAAATATCTTGGAAAATAAGGAAAAGATCATCAGTCTACAACAACCAATCCAAAACTTGCAAACTTTGCTTGGAGGGAAAAATAGCTATCATTACCTTCCCAGACCAAAATAAATTATTAAATAAACGATCCAAGCTCATCTAAAAATGCAGACATGAAAACAAATTTTTACTATGATGCTTAAAAATCGAAAATTGAAAAAAAAAAATAAAATAAACAAAATGACAGTAAAATAAGTAAAATAAATCAACCCAAACAAATTACCAAATTACACCCGTTAGAATAGACGAAATAGAATAAATAAAAATAAAAAACAAAATCAATGAACTCAAATAAAGTAAATAATAAACAAATTCACAAACCATTATGACCAAAATATTAGTTAGACTACAAAAATCAAACCAAAAATGGGATGAAAAACATAGCTATAAATGTTATATAACAATAAAACAATACTACATTACTTAAGAATTGAAAACTGAAAAGAGTATATAAAAATATACAGTATAATAAATAAATAATAAAAACAAGTCAATTAAATTAATCTAAATTAATCCAAATAAATAAACTAGCAAACCATTCCCGATAAATCAACTGTTAGAAAAAAAAAGTAAAGATAATCAATCCAAATAAATAAATGAAGTAATAAACAAATTAAAAACTGCTCCTGCCAAAATAATAGAATAAACTACAGCAATCAACCCCAAAATTGAATAAATAGCTTTAATTATCTTCCCAAACCAAAACAAAACTATTAAATAAGAGATATAAACAAATTTTTACTACGTTAATAAAACACCGATTAAAATAAAAATAAAAAAATAAATATATAAGATAAGAAATAAAAAAAACAAAAAAACAAGCAAAATAATTTAACCCAAATAAATAAATAAACAACTTCAGGCAAAATAACCACCAAAATAGACTACGCACAATGCACCACTGACCTGTATATATAAATAGCCGAGAAAAAACAAACACTTGTGGCCTGACGATTGCCTCTAAGTGTTGACTTCAATGTTCACGTTTATATATATATATATATATATAAATAAAATAAGTCTTTATAATTATAGGTAAATGTGTTTGATATCAAAGACAGAGTGTAGGTAAATATAAAATTGGACAATAATGTCAATGCTGAGTGGCGACAGTCTGTTTTATGCATATAGACTTGAAGATTACCTTCAAGTATGTACCAGACTGTCA